TCCACCTTCAATGTGGATCTTGCAATTGAGGTCATCCAATTGCCCAACGGACAATAAATTCTTTTTCAAGCCCTTCACATGTCGTACCCTTTGAATTGTTCGAACAGTACCATAATGCATTTTCAATTTGACAGTACCAATTTCAGCAATTTCTAGGGCATGATCATTTCCCATGAACACGGATCCTCCCGAGATAGGTTCATAATTGTAAAACCAGTCTCGACATGGAGTCATGTGCCAGGTTGCACCTGAATCCACTATCCAACATTCATGAAGTTGTCTTCCACCTCTAGATTTTACTGCTTCACTATATAAGATTTCACCATCATCTGAGGTACTTGCAACACAACCTTGAGAGATTGATGCTTCAATATTCTTCCCTCCTCCACTCTTCTTGTTCCAACAATCTTTCTTCACGTGCCCTCTCTTGCCACAGTTGTAGCATTTGAGGTTCTTCCTTCTCTGAGATTTTGATCTACCATGATTCTGGCTCCCACTGGAACCACGTTCCATTGATCTTCCTCTCATCATCGTCAATGCTTCTGCCTGTTTAGAATTTTTCAGTCTATCTTCCTTATTCTTTCTCCTGGATTCTTCTTCAAGAACTGCTCCAACAACATCATCAAAGGATAGATGACCGATAATGTTGTTGTTTGTTATATTGATGATGAGTTGATCATATAAATCTGGTAAACTCTGGAGTAGAAGCTCCGCACGTTCATTTTCTACTATGTTGAAATCTGCGGCTGTAAGCTGAGCAAACAACGTATTCAGATTGTTGATGTGGTCCGTTACTGATGTGGACTCACTCATTCGAAGAGTGTAGAGTTTTCTCTTCAAGAATATTCTGGTGTGAAGTGACTTGACCTCGTACAACTTGATCAGTGTGTCCCAAATCTCCTTTGTAGTCTTCTTCTCTGCAATACTGGATAACACTGAATCAGCCAATGCTAAGTGCAAATTGGCAACAGCATTGTTATCCATTTCTCTCCATTTTTCTTTTGAAATATCTGTAGGTCTTCCTTCAATTGCATCAAGACAATTGTCTTTTCTCAAAATTGCTCTTATCTTCAATTTCCACAAGGAGAAATTACTCCCATGAAATTTCTCTATCTCATATTTTGCTGCCATAATTTCTCTCTTAATTATACCGACTTATGTAACTTTCACTGTGAATAGTACTACCTACTGGAACAATAATAATGGTAGACTGTGAATAAGTACACACTATATATGCACTTTTACACTACTAAAAAATTGTATACTCAGTAACAAGAATAATTCTTTTCTGATGTAGCAGATCAGACAATACTGCAACCACAAAGCATACTAAGAATTTCCTCTAGCACTATACCAATGTACACTACAGCGGAATAATATAAACAACCTAGAATCTCTGATACCACTGTTAGGACCAGAGTACCAGTATAATAACACACAACTTAAAATAAGAGATGAAAAATAAGAATTAATAAAGATAATACTAAAATTATCATAGAAGAAAAAAATTACACTATTCCTCACTCTAAAATTTACTCCTCAAAATAAGAGACTATTACTACCGAGTACAAGATCTCAGTGTAATACAAACATGAGAGGGAGAGAAGATTTTGGAATCATTTGAATTGGTATACCCCTAGCCCTTATATAGACAAAGAAGGGGTCATACTTTTGAAGTTCCCACCGATATGGGACTTCTTACTTAACATTCTACCTGTATGTTTGCCTGGTGATTTGCCAAAGATCTCTCTGTATATGTGTACCTCTTTTCCCAATCCGAAGATGCACACCACTTTCAGTTTTCACACTCATTTATCCTTTTCACTTTCTTAAAATTGATTATTCAAAATGAATACCCCTTCTACCCATATGTACTTTTATATCCGCGGAGAAAAGGTAATAACGTTATATATAAAAAAGGGCATTTATCAACACTTGTTGTCATTAGTCTCTACTCATCACCCTAAAAAAAATCTCGATTAGTAATTTTATAACAAATATTAAATTCTAAATATAATATTATGGATATTTATAATAATAAATGTATTATATTAATAATATGGTGTACTGATGGATTACATTATAATTAATACAGACTGACAATATCTTTACAAGTAATTTAATTTTTTATTTAACAAGGCCTACACCAACTAACACAAGTCTAACAAGAGATTGTTAACAACAATAATACCAGTCAATGTATAAATGAATATTCACATTAATCTAACCCTTAAATTTTTTTAAGGGGTGATAGCTGGTGTACCATAAGGCATTAGGTGAACATTAAGAGGAATGCACACAAGGACAAGGTGATTCTCAAGGATAGAGGCAGAAGGAAGTGTGGCCTTAAATAGGGTTCAATGCACATGAGATTCCTGAGAAGTCACACACACTCACACACATTATGAATGCTAAGGTGTTGTCAATTCGGGGATAGGGCTATATATGAGTAGCGGTATAGAGTAATGCTTTTGAAGCCAAATGAACATCTTACAAATTGCTTTCAATGCCTTGATGTAAGGGTTTGGTGGGGTTGAAGTGATTACTGTCAACGAAACCAACAAATTCCCTTGTCTATGTCTGAAAGAGACGTAGTCGCTACTTGCATAACGCGTTTTGTTTTATCTGTGTTGAGTAACATTTTACTTGCAATTTTAGCCAAAGTACAAATACTACCCTAGCTAACTGAGATACTTATATATTGTGATTACCAGCAGGTATGTGTCATATGCTTATAACTAGACACATACTCACATTGATTTTGCTATTATGCTAGAAACAGTTTCTACAGATATCTCTATGCTCTACTTTTCTTTTTGTCTATAGAAATTTGGGATACGTTTTAGCTTTTCTTTATTAATCATTATACCTTTTTTTTCCTTCTTAATTAATTACTTTAGCATGTTTCAAGCGATTCTCTCAATTTTCGTCTAAGCATAAAGCCATCATCTCTTTAAAATCAATCCAAGCCAGAGGTGTTTAAATATTATTTTAATGAATTAAGAATTTTTTGCGTTAAAATGTATAATTGGTCTGTTTGTTTTATTGTTTGGAGTGAGAGAATCGATTTGCTGACAAAATCAACGCCAACTATAAATATACACATTTTAAGAAGTAATTTGGATGAAAGTGATTTTTTCCCTTAAATTTTGCATAAATCGATCCTCAAAGCTTGAACGGATTCATAAACATGTTCTATATCTGAGGTTGACAAAAAGAAGAAGAAAAAGGCAGGTTCTATACTTTTTGGTCTTAAACTCTTGGTATTTTAAAGTTACATTAGACCCTAAAAAATTCAAATCAAGTCTTCAATTAGGAAACAAAACTCATCTAATAAAATGAATATTACATAAGGCATTGACGTACATTCAAACTATATGTAAACGTGTGTATATACGAGAAAGATTTTCTTCCACCGGTATAAATTTAAAATTTTTTACATTTAATCTGAATTTTTTATTTAATTTATATCTAATAAGAATATCTTTTATATATATATATATATATATATATATATATATATATTATGTGCGTTAAATATTATAACATTTATTACATTTATAGTGCACGTACCAATTACCAAAGAATTTCCGTTGTCTCTACTCTTCAAATGTTATAATCGATTGATTTTCTAGTAACCACTATATATTGGTCTACGGTAGATGGTCATGTCCATGTATCTAAAAGTGGAAAAGACAGACTTTTGATTAATTTATTCTAAGAAACATGCACAAACTTATTAATAATGGTATTTGTGTTCTAGCAACAACATATAATGACATTGATCAACATCATGGCTCTTTATCATATGGACCCAAGTACATTTTTTTTTTCTTCCACGACTTTTTCTAAACTTTTTAAAAATTTGCTCTCAGAACAGTTTTTATCTTCTTAAATACACCAACAATATCAAACTTACATTAAACAATAGCATCAGGAAAAAAAAAAGGGGTGGGGCATCATTTTCATCAGAAGACCTACAGTGTTGAATTGAAGAACTTAATGGTCCGGGTTATTTCTCATATTTGAGAATGAGAAATTAATTATTCCGTTAAATATATTAATACGAAAACATAACTATTAATCATCCTAAGCTAAATAATTTTTAAATGATGACAAGTAACATAAATAGGTTAAAAGTTGGACTTAAATCAAACCAATAATGTACAAGAGAGAGCTTTCATTGGAAAGGGAAAGTATAATACCCGTGTCCTTTTTCTTTTCTCTCTTCATAATACAACACAAATTTACACAATCATGTTTAGGGAGGAAGAGACACATTCATATAATTTAAATCTGAACAAAGAAATACTTTAGTGAATTTGAATTTAATTATTTCAATATATGATGGACTCAAAACCATGATCACTGTCATATCCCACTGATATTTTTTTTTCTTGTACAAGTAATTGGTCAACCTGCAAAGCTTTCATCATCATATCACTATGCTAACCAGTTTCGGGCTAAACAGAGTTAGCAGCCAGTGGTTAGTGCATTTCCACAAATGCTTCTATCAGTTGTAAAGTGTGAAGAGGCTTCACATGGGAGCGTGGCAAGCACGGGCGCGTGAAAGTGGAACTTGCTTCACTTGCCCTAAACTGCAGCAAAATTAAAACTATGCAGCAAGAGAATGGAGAGAGAGAAGGAAAGGGACCATATTTACTAAAATTAAATTGGAAAAGAGAATGAGATAAAAATAAGAATAACTGGGGTTTCCATTTTTTTGTAAAAGAAGATCAAGTGTGCCCCTTTCTGTGTTCATTGTCTATTTCTATATAGCACACTAACTTCCACTTCTCTGAAACACACCATTATCTCACAACTACTATTACTTACTTTGCCTTCTCTCTCTCTCCCCTTTTTTCTATATTGCACTAAATCCCACTCTCTCTTCTATATCAAGGGCTGATCAGAGAAACTCAATATTTCTAATAAAATTTATAAACTTTGAGTTATTGTTTCGAGACACACAGAAAAAGAGAGAGAGAGAGAGAGAGAAAATGGGCAGAGGGAGGGTTGAGCTGAAGAGGATAGAGAACAAAATCAACCGCCAAGTTACTTTCTCAAAAAGAAGGAACGGTTTGCTCAAGAAAGCCTATGAGCTCTCAGTTCTCTGTGATGCTGAGGTTGCCCTCATCATTTTTTCAAGCCGTGGAAAGCTCTATGAATTTGGAAGTGTTGGGTATTCTCTCTCTGTCTCTCTCTCTTTGAATTGCAAAAAATCTCAACTTTGCAGTTATTTAATTGATGCACATATTTTTATTTTATTGAAAGTTTGATGTCCATTTTTGTTAGGTGCAAATCCCAATAGGTATTAAAATTTTAGATATTGGGTTTTCTGATTTGTGTGTTGTGGTGCTGAGAAAGATACCTTCTTCTTTTCTCTGAGCAAACACACTTTCTTCTTTGCATCAGCTTCTTTCACCAAAATGGCCACTGATTTCTGCTTCTGGCTTCCTTTATTTTGCCACGACTGAGTTTGATGCTTTAAAGATTTAACAAAACACCACTTTGATATATTTTTCACTCATTATTTATTTATTTATTTTCAAATTTCTTTTTTTTTTCCTTTGTTTTCTTGTTCTTTCTCTTAGTCACCGTTCTTGGTTAGTTTCTTCTGTAACACATGCACCTGACACTCTCCTGGCTTCTTCTTCTTCTTCTTCTTCTCTCTCTCTCATCGTTGCTCCCTTTCTGGATCAGTGCATCTTGTGCCCTCTATGATATATTTCTCCTTTTATTTTCTTGCAATTGCGGGGTTCTATTAGAATTTTCATGGCTTGGGTTAGGGAAGGGGAAAGAAATCATAGGTTTTGCTTCCAATCACAGATCGACACGTTTCATCGTCCTTCTACCTGTTATCTCTTTATTGTGAGATAAAGGTTTCAGCTTTGCACTCTGATCTACTGATGGAACAGTACAATCTAATTTCCTCTTTCTCAGAAGTAAAAGAAGAAACAAGAAAAACGGAAAAGGAAGAAAGCAATCATATGTACCCAGTTTTGTAACATAGTGTGTAATTAAATGAACGTGGTAAGGTAAAGTCCAAGGATGTTGATCACTCTCTTGTACCGTTGGGCAAGATCTAGGGCTTTCCCAACATCTTCCCCTATGTGGGAACAATATATTATATTCACAATAAAAAATTATTAAAGCTCAAAGCCTTAAACTTTTTAACACTCGAAACAAGTTCTTCACCTTTGTTCATATTCCTTTTAATCGTTTGGTCTATCGGTTCTATCACTGTATCTTCTCAGAGAATTATGCTCTATCATATAAGTGTCCCAAAAACAATTACCTACTCTATATCTCAAAGGGATCGATCATGGGGTGTAGCTGGGTTTGGACCTTGCAATCAGAGAGATAGGTACCGCTTCTCTTTTGTCTTTTATTCTTAGGTCTTTTAGATGATCAATTGATTCTCTCTCTCTCTCTCTCTCTCTCTCTGAGGGAGTCTACATAATTAGCCTGCACTATTATGTGTGCATTTTTCATGATTATCGAGGAATGATGGCTTATCCAGAACAGCAGTTAGGTTAATTAGGTTTTTATTATTATTATTATTTCATATTGCATGATGATAAATAATGATGATTTACCAATAATCGGTCAAAATTAAAAACGTGAAACAGTTTTTTTCCCCCTTCCTTTGCTTGCTAGCCCTAATAGGTATACCTGAGTCTGGTCAAGGCATGGCCGGTGTAAAATATGGAAAGGGTACAGGGAGGAAAAATGGTAAAAAGAGTAAATAAGTTGCTCACTTGTTTTTGGAATTAACCTAACATTACAATTTGTAACATATCAACAGTGTGAATCCGAGGACATCCATGGCAAAATTTCGCATGTGTAGCTGAAGTGTTTGAAAGTTTATGGTCATTTTTATTAGGATTGACAAACTGTCCTTGTTTTACTGTTTTTCCGATTGTGTGTTATTTTCTCTATCATTTACTATTCTCCGAAAACAAATCTAGGTTTTCTTCGAGATGTCCATGTCCAAGTAAGAATTATAATCCCTGAGAAATCATGCCCACGTTCTGATTTATTTTCAGCGCACCTTTGGTTTCAACTCCCACCCCTTCCTTGAATAGAAATAACATAATATATTATGTATAATTTGTTTCCAAAGAGAAACATCTAGGCTTCAATCGTTTCAATTTTTCAAGATCATTCTATAATTTTAAATTTACTTGTCATGAATGGAATAAGATTTACTCGGCTATTTTATAAAGTTAAACATGATTTAGGAACGAAGTATATACAATACTTGATTTAAGATACCATAATTTCCTCGTTTTTTTTTCAGAATACAAGATCTCAGTCTTCCTTGTCCACTTTGACAGTATTTACCTTTTATTTATATATGTTTATGCAATTACAAAGATAAAAATATTATATGTTAATTAGGGAAAAAAAAACGATAAGAATGAGAGGATATGATTCGTGAAAAGGAAAGCTAAATTACGTAAAATATTTGAGAAAAAATAATATATTAGTGGGTATTATAAATGATTTTTTATGGATATTTGGTATATGACACGTCTACAAACCAGCATATTTGAATAATTAGTCTAAAATCAGTTTTGGGTACAATTTATGATGAAACACTTATATATGAAATAGTAACTTCTAAGGAATTTTTTTTTTAATATGTAAGAATGAGTCGTTTAAATATTTTTTGTGTGAAAAAAATAGTTATGTTTTGTTGACATTACTTATTCATTTTTATTAAAGAAAATAACTCGGTTAATAAAGCTCAAAATCCATTTTACACAGAATGAATGTCAAAATAAATTTTATAAATATCAATTAAAACCAAAATTATTTTGAGTCATGACACATTCTGTTAAGTAATGCATTATCAAGTGCAAAATGGAAAAATTCTAAAAAATGATTAAAGTGAGCATAAGGTGTGCTCCAGCCCTTCAGCAAAAGAACAAAATTTGAGACCCGTAAACTTACCATGTTTTGTTTATACATGTGCTTTTCTGTATACTTTTACATATTTTTGTAATAATCTTCTATTTTATAATGTAAATATTAAGTGAAAAAGTTTGTACATTTATTATCTTAAAAATATAAAAAGTATTTAATAATTTATTTATTTATTTAATAATTATAAGAATTGGTAAGCACAGAGGAGGATTTAAAATTAAAATGATTAAGTTTAAAAATGCTCTCCATCGCCCTTTTCTTTATTATTTGTCTCCTTAATTAACTAGACATTATTTCCCTCATGTAAAACTTCGAGTGTTAAAGGTTTACATCTATAGTTCATATTACATATTCCTGACTAACAAAATTTGCCTTGAACTAATACTGACAGAGCAGTTTCCTTTAATTCGCAGCATTACCAAAACTATTGAGCGATACCAACGTTGCTCTTTTACTCCTCAAGATGACCATGTTGAATGTGAAACTCAGGTATGTATTCACCAACTCTTTCTGCCCTCATTTTCCACCTGAAGAGCACTTGCAATTTCTAAGGTACTTATGTATTCAACAATACAAGTTAAAAATTGTGCCTAGTGTTTTCTCACTTTGTAAAGTCATTGTCTCCTATTCAATTCGATTGCGTTTAATGGCCTCCTTAACATTTTTCATTGTGAATGACACCTAAATCTTAATTGTAATGCAAAATCACAAGACAACATTAGCTCAAACAAATTCCTTTTTTCTTGTCCCGGCATGTTATTTTGAAATTAAGGACTTCTTTCCATCCATTAACTAGGAATACTTTTTCCTTAGAAGGGGAAAATAAGAAGTTCACCCTATTGTAAAGTATAAATTATAAGTTATCCTCATATATAGATAGATTGATTTATTGGTATTGAAACTTGTTAATTTACATCTACTTACTTTTTAGAAAGAACATTTTTAGCAAATTAAGTGTATTTTTAAGAAAACGAAAGTTATAATTTGTTAACATATTTATTCTAAAAAATAAGTAGATATACATTAACATTAATGTGTGTGTGAATTATTTATTATGAATTTCTGTTTTGGCAATTAGAGCTGGTACCAAGAGGTGTCAAAGCTAAAGGCAAAGTATGAGTCTCTTCAAAGGACTCAAAGGTAATCCCCCTTCTAGGCATAGAATTTTAATTTACCTTCACGACTGATGATATATTATCCTGAACAGTCACATGCAAATGCATGATAATCACAAACAAAAAGTAGTTAAAATTATAGCATGTAAACATTTGCTTACCAGTGTGCTATTTCAGGCATTTGCTTGGGGAAGATCTTGGACCACTGAGCATAAAGGAACTGCAGAATCTTGAGAAACAGCTTGAAGGAGCTTTAGCACAAGCTAGGCAAAGGAAGGTGTGCACATATATCTAGAATCTCTCTTAACTGCTCTTTGGATTTTTGTTTAGCGCTTGCTTTTGGTTGTAAAAGATGTCTATCTATATTTACAAGACTAGTCTTTTCAGCAGTTTAACTAGATTATACATCTATGTACTCTTAAATCTTTCAATCTATATATATATATATAAAAGTTTTCCTGTTAAAACATATGTAAAGCTTTCTTTTTTTTTATTGTTTTCTCGTCAAAGCACTAATTTGATCTTCTATAATAAATTAATGTAACATTCAATGGAGAAAAGTAAATTTATGTGTTAGGGTTCTGTATGATCGAATATTCTCTTAGTTTTCTACGGACATAACTCTTGTACTTCATATTAATTATTTGTCTTATTTTAAAACAATCTTCTTTGATTTACTTGTGCCAAATTGCTAATTTTGAGACTTGAGAAACGATATCGATAGCATTAACTAAAAGGGAAGCAATGACCAAATGTCTAAACAAACTTACCGTTTGAAGCTTTAAATGGAAACTACAAAAAAAAAAAAAAAATCATAGTAAAAGATTCTATGTCTCATAAAAAGCTGGTTTCAGTCTGTATAATACATTACACAATATAAGTTTTTCCACCCAGCTCATGACCTTACAAAGAAACTTTGATTTTTTGCTGACTTTACTTAAAATTTATTCTCAATTGCAGACACAAATTATGATTGAACAAATGGAAGAGCTTCGCAGAAGGGTAAGAAATGTTACATCCACAATTATTTTAAACATATATTTTATTTTTGTCATCTATAGTCAAATTTATTTCTAAACAGGTCAATCGTGCAATTATGTATTTAATTTGTAAGCCTATTTGAAAACATAGATTTACGTTTCGGATCAATATTCATTCGCTCTAAAACTTTAGAAATCTTTGGAACCAATAATTTGACTCAAGGTTTTACATTTCTCAATTTGGTATTTTCATCCTCTTGCAGGAACGCCACCTTGGAGACATGAATAAGCAACTTAGACTCAAGGTTTTACAATGTCTTGTTATATTTTTCTCAATTAACTAATACATTCTGTTTTCTGTATCAATTCTTTCTTTCAAAACTTGTTTCCAGCTTGAAGCAGAAGGATTTAATCTTAAGGCTATGGAAAGCTTATGGAGCTCTACTTCAGCTGCTGGAAATAGCAGCTTTCCCTTTCAACCAGCTCAAACCAACCCTATGGATTACCAGGCAGAACCCTTTTTGCAAATAGGGTACGTGAAATTCTTTTATGCAAATGATTATTACACCAAATATTAAATTAATTAGGATTTATGGTCTCGTAGTGTTCATAAATTCTGACCTAAGGTAATGTTAAATAAAATGAACATTTCAAGATCAGATGATGGTCTTGGGCTATTGTCCAACATTCAACTCTCACTCTTCAAACCCACAAACAAACTTTTGCAACAAAAAAAGAGACTGATTTGAAGTATGAGCATATATAAGTTTATAGTAAAATATAAAAATGTGAAAGATAAATTTCTTGATAGTTTTTGGGTCAACTTTATGCCATGTCAAGAGTCAAATTAGTGTAGGTAACATCCCGAAACTGAATCAATCTAAATCATTGATTTTCAAAGGTCAGAAATTCTAAATTAACCTCTTATTTTGAACAGGTACCATCAATATGTTCAAGCCGAGGCATCTAATGTTCCTAAGAGCATGGCTTGTGAGACTAACTTCATGCAAGGATGGATCCTTTGATCAATCTTAATTAATAAAGTATATGATTTACCTTATTGTCTATATGCCTTTTAGATTTGTGTTTTGGTTGGTATCAACTTAAATGTACCTTTGTGACCAGCAAAGTTGCAGACTTATATAGCATTTTCTGTAATTGGATACAAGTACAGACAACGGTTTACTATATTTTAAAGCAATGTTATTGTTTTGAACTTCGAAGTTTGAACCTATATATGTAGATGTGTATCTATATCCCTACCTCCCCAGAAAAATCATTCTCTCTCTATATATGTTTGGCGACCATTTTGCAGAAGGATAATGAAAAAAATAGGATAGAGTTGCTAAGAGAGTTTCATTAATTTTCTTTATCATTTGGATGTTAAAAATCTTTTAACGTTCTCAAAATTTAAAAAACAAAAATTAAATACTTGTAAAAATGAAGGATTTTGAGAATATGTATGAGGATTCCTTTTTCCAACTTATTTTATTAAACCTTCGAAACAAGTAAATTTTACTTAAAACATTTTGTTGCCTTTTATTTTCATTTATGCTAACTTCTCCAACCAAATTAAATACTTCCTAATTGCCATGGATCACGTTAATCAGCAATTATAAGATATCAATTAGTGTTTTTTTTTAACAAAGTATTGTCTGATCATTTTTTTTATAGAATGTTTTTTGTAATATACTTTTTTAATTTTTTGCATGTCAATTTAATATTTAAAAAATTGTTATATTTTTATGAAATATTTAATTATAATAAATTTTTTTAAAAAAATGAGTGAAAAAGTACTTTTGGAGAACACAAACAAAACTATTCTGAATTTTATGAACTGAATTTTACGCGAATTCTTTATGCTGATAATTAAAGCAAAGTAATTAGCGTGTATATATAAAAAATTAGACAATTACCAAGAGTTGATGTTTCTCTATTCATGTTTATTTAGGTCGTAAAAAGTAATATTTTGAAAAATCAAATATGTATCAAACCTGGTTTTGAATCAGAAAATTTGCTATTGATTTGGATTCTAAGTTCTAACTAGGGTGAGGGTCCAAAGGAGATTTGCCAATTACAGAAATAGCCAAATATAACAAATATAAGGAGGCAAATTACGTGTAAAATCGTACCTTTTTTTTTGCGTCAACCAAATCGTACTTCAATTGAGCGACCGAAACATCCACCCAAACAAATTGGCAAATGTTTCATCTATAGTTAATATTATATGAATATTTTTTTTATTACATCGCTCCCTTTTATTTTAAAAAATTTTAAAAATACAATTCTTCATGTTTCAAATCATTAAAAAATGCTCAATTAATTATAAAACAAACACACAAACAAACATAAGAGGCTTGAATTTAGGAGGAAAATAACATATTTTTAAGATGAAAAATAAATAAATATAAGAGTATCAGCAATTCGTATTTGAGAAAAATAATATAAAAATGTTAAAAGTAATTAATTTAAGAAAGATAAGGTTAAGAAAAGAAAATTCAATATAACAATTTAATGTAACAATTCAATATAACAATTTAATGTAACAATTTGTTATATTACAAAAAGCAAATACAATGCTTAACTTTAGTAACTCTCAATTTAATCTTTGACGATGATGCATGTTAAGTTGGTTTAAGTATTGTTTGATTAAAATAATAAATAAATGAAAGATGAATAAAGGAGAATGGGGCGAAATAAGTTTAAATGAAGAAAAAAAATTCAATTTCCAACACAATTTTATAATAGAAGAATAATATTATCATCACTTAAATTGTTTACAGCATAATTTTATATTTTTTACATTATTAGTTTTATTTGACTTTTCCTATGTGTATTTAAAAATATAGAATAATAAATAATAAACAATAAAATTTTCTTAAAATTAAAATTTTTTATATATAAATATTTAAAAAAATTATATTTTATATTTTATTCTTCTCTTTTATCATAAAATCTGTGAATAAAAAATTAAATGGCAACAGCATTATCCTTAATAAAAAAAAAAGATTAGCTCTCGCCGTTAATAATTATTAAAGTATGTCAAAAGAAAAAAAGACCCGAATATCTATGCACTTCTGACACATGAAAACTTTAGCGTACTTGGTTTGATTTTTGGTTTCTCAACTTCACGTCATAGAGCTGGACTCTGCTACTCCCTGCTTTGTTTGTACTGAGTTTCTTCCCATTGAAATGGATCCCATCACCATCTTCATTTCCATAAAACACCCTTTCATTATTCCATCTAACAAACTCACCTAACACATTTCAAGAACTGTGCGCTACATTTTCTACATTAATTCGCCTTGATTCCTGCATTATAATATGTTGAGCCATATAAGGAACTTCAAAACGAAAGTGTGTGTCTGCGTGTGTTTTGTCAAGTTACTCATGTTTGTTACTGATGGTAACTAAGTGTGGCTCCTACAGATCAACAAGTTGAGATAAATTTTCAAGATTTTGAGTTTCGGACATTGTGATCTTCTGCAAAGTCTTGAAGGGTGCTTTTCCTCTTATTGTGACCCTTCAAACTGTTTGCTACAAGTTCCTCTTTTGGTATGCTTTCTAGATCTTTTCTTTGATTTCATTTATGCCCATAAATTTTTATTGTTAATTATTTGGCATGTGTTAATCAGGTGGATTTTTTTGTTTTTTAAATTGGTTTTTCTCTTTGGACATATTTTTTATTTCTTTGGTTGCCCTTGTTATGCTAGTTTTGATTACTGACTAAGTTGTATGAAACAAATGAGGTTCTATTCTGAATTTGGTACAAGTCTTTAGTTTCTATTCCTTCTACTGTGTTTCTAGGCCCACTAGTCTCCATTTTTTAGGTTTTTATTTTTTATTAAAAAATATGTGATTTTCTTGAGTTTCTTCACATGCTTAGTTGTTTTAATGACTGTGTTTAAGTATTTGCTTGTTGGGTTCCACAGTTACAATTCTTAGAGCTCTTCACTAAATCGTTCCCTCTGTCTGTCAGTTTCTACTTTCTATAACCAACAATCTGGACTGAGGAGATTTTTCTCTGTTAAAATTCCCATGTTTTTTTTTTCATTGAGGTTTGTCATAATGTTTAGATCTTCATTTATTTATTTAATTATTTATTGTAAAACAGGTTCTTTCTTTATTTAACTTTTGATCTTCTTATTCTTGCTCCTGGTTTGTGTCTTTGTGATCTTGGGACATTCTTAGAAATTGGAAGGTACAAGTTAGTTAAGATCTCCAAAGATGGAAAAAATACTATCCATTAAAAATTTGGAAAGCCATAAGAATTAAAAAAAAATTATATTGTAATAATTTTAATCCTTGAAAGACGAAATGGACATTAAAAAAGAAAAAAAAAATTAAAATTTTAAAAATAAGATTACAATAGTAATTGTTTATTTTCTTAAATTTAAACTTAAGTTTAATTCAACTTTAAAAGTTAACACATAAGATTAGCATTGTCTTAGTTATTATAAACTTTATTTAAGCCATATGTGTGGTTGAGGTGATCAGATTTTAAGGCAAATGACAAAATTACTTCAAAAGAAAGGGTCCTTTGAAAGACATTCTTCCTTGTTAACTGAGTTTTACCTGAATTTATTAAATGATTCAAATTCATTATTTGTTTAAGGAAACTCATAAAATTCACTTGATGATAAAAAAATAAAATAAAATTTGAGTTTAAAATTGTATTATTTATCATTTCTAACTGAAGAAGAAGATTGATCTGACATAAGACCTCAAAGATGATATGGACCCATGGCCTCCTTTTCTCTATAACTGTAATTTTGTGTAAAATGACTTCAATCTAGATTCCAGGGTAGTTAAACTGCTAATATATAGGGTCTGCCACCTGCATTATTTGTATTTGGTGTGAACACTAATTCTTTGCATGTTATGCATAAACTTTTTAGGCACTACTCATGTTTTCCCCCATTAATAATTTTTTGTATGAAAGTTTTCGTTTTAATTATTGGACATATTAATTGCTGAACTAAAGAAAATAAGCCTTCTATAGGCAAATTCATTCCAAACTAAATTGCTTAAGTTTAAACAGCATTAGTTGCTGAGAATGTATATGGATCTGTCTAATTTATTAGTTTTATATTTTTAGTTCTGTTTTCATTTACCAATAATCAGTAATGAGCTGTGAGTTTTCTCAAAAGATTTCGTTTGTGTATGGAGTGCTTTTGTAGATAATTTTTATTTTACAAATTTGATTTGAATTAAAGGGAATATAAATAATATTAAAAGTTTGTTTAAAAATTTAGTATAATAATTTCAATCGAATATAAATATTACATATATATATTTTCATTTTCTAGAGAAAAAGCAAAAGCAATTTTACTTTAGCTTTTAGATCGGTGCCAATTGATTTATAAACCCAATGATTGATTCTTATTTTAGGTTTTTATTTTTTATTTTTTTATCTATACATAGATTTCATTATTTCAGGTTCCTTCAAACGCAAGTAAGTATATATATCATCACAGAAAAAAAGAAAAAAAAAGGAACAAAATACTAATGCATATGCCTCAACGTGTAAGTTAAGTATAGGAATAAAAAAAGTTGGAATATCCCTTATATTCCCTTTCAATAAATTTATTTTAGTAGATGAAAAAGATAGAAAACAAATATTAAGATATTGGGAAGAGTTTATAAAAATAATTTATGAGCCTCATTTCATTTCAATAAAATTATAACTATAATTTATCAGAATATCTCTTTTTTATTTATTTTAAAAAATATTATAGTCAAACATAGTTCGTATTGGCAGGTGAAATTCCCAAGAAATATTAGCACTGGGTTTCGAGTTTTATTACGCATTAATGACACTCAAAACAATAAATAAACTATGTCCACTTGTATCTTCATAAGAAAAAATACACGTGTTTCTAAATATACCTTCACATATTATTGTTAATTTGAGTGCTCGTACCATATTTTGCCTGTCAGAGACTCAAAATTATATCTTGAATTTTGGTTACTTAGCAGAAATGTCGAAATTAGTCACATACATTGAAACAAAGTATATATTTTCAATTGGATATATATAATTTCTTCACAGCCAATAAAATTTACTCTAAGATTTTCTTTTTCACAATATATTTCAAAGATTCATACTTTCATGTGCCATATTTTCACATCATCAATTTGATAGCTTAGTTGACTTTGTAAAGATTATAAACGGACCTTGTAATACAACTCAGCAATCTAGCCTTGCCTTTGTCATGTTATGTTTATAGTCTTACATTTAGAAACTAAGTGCCTTTGGATTGAGTGAATTGCAGCTCTTATTTTTGAAATAAGTGGTAACCCAAGTTACTCAAGGCTACGATCCTTGGTAGAGAAGCTTTGCAATTGGAAGGTTTCATCCATGAACAAAAATCTCTCTACTAACTTAATGGTGTTTTATTGTCTGGATTTCTATATTTTTTGAGGTAAGATTGGAAAGTGTTAGATACAAATTTATTGAAAATTATGAATCCAATGTAACTGCAGCAGAAAAGATGTTGGAAGACAGTTCTATATCGTTTTAGAAAGTGGGTTGGAAATACTCTTAAAATATATTATTATTCAAAGTGAATATCTTTAGAGAGTTACAAATTTAAAATTAAAAACTTTTCTTTTATAAATCAAAATTGATTTATAATTAAGTTTAAACTTGAGAGTTTGTAAGTATAAAATTTAAAATTTTTTTAATTAAACATTTTTTATCACAGATCAAAATTGATTATTTATTTTGTTAAAATTTGAGTTTATATGTTGTATTAATCAAATAATTTGCATTTAAATGAGCTAAACATTGATAAACAGAAAAAAAAAAAAAAAAGTATTTAGAAGTTTCATTATTAATACAGAGAAAATAAGAAAGAAAGAATGGAGAGAGACATGTGAAAACTGAAAAAAGTACCTTTCCAAAGTCACCCTCACAGAGACCTCGCCAAAGTCATCCTTACAGAATGCACAAACTCGTGCATCCAAAAAAGTGTAAAATGGCATGATGTGTGTAATTAATCAACTCAAGGTACAATTTTCTTTGTCCTTATATAACTGACTCTGTTGTTAATTTTACACATCACATGCCACACCAAAACAACCATAACTAAGAAAGCTCAGGAGTCATGTGTTAAACTCCTACACTGATGGCATGAACCATACAACTGAAGTGAAAGTGAAAGTGCTGAATACTGAGTCTGAAATACAACTACAAATACAAAGGTTTTCAGGATATTATCAAACACAACAAATCACTCATACAATCATTATTATTAAGAGTACTATCATAGAAAGTATAAATATTTGACACTTGAAAAACATAAAAATATTTAAAAGCATTATTAAGAAGATATTTTAGGGGGATTTAGAACTACTGTTATTTATCTTCATGAGAGCATCAGGATACATATCTAATATACATTTTTTATGCAGTTTGGCTTACATTATTTTATTTTTTCACAGCCAGGGATTAATCTTCAACTAGGCCTGAGTAGGGATGCGCTTTGTTCTTGTATCTGGAAGTCCAATGAACAATTCTGTCTCCACATCTGAACTTGGAGAACTTTCTGTATAGGATTGGGGTTGATTTTCTCCCCGTGTTGCTGGCTGTGATTGCATACCACACTGCAGAGAATTTTCGTTTTCAATTTGCATTCTAACTGAATGATTTGTAAAACAATTATCCAATAATAAGCAAACTGAGATTGTTTCATGTTTGATATCAAAAGTTGAACTTCAAGATTTCCATTAGGATGACTAATATTCTATTTAGCTTGACAAAATATTTCACTAGTGATGACAAAAGCATTCCTTACCTTTTATTTTCAAGGATTTGTTTTTCATTTTTTCATGTACTAGTCTAAGAAAATTGAAAATAAAATGAAAATAATGACATTTTTGTGATTATTTATGAAAAATCAAAACATATTCTTAAATCAATTAGGCTTTAAAATATTCTTTAAAAGAGCTATAGGTCACAATATAAACTTCAAACAACAGTAACTTCACCTTCTCAGAGAGCCTGGCATTTTCATCAACTAGGGCTTTTTCCTGAATTGCATTAGAAACACATTAGTCAGGTTTTTTTTTTTTTTTTTTAATGAAATGCTTGCTGGGAAATGTTAGAGAACTGATGGGCAAGGAAATGAACCTTGAAGTATATTTTTTGGTTTGGCAAGTATCATGCAAAGAATTGACCAATCACAAACTCCTAGATGAAAGAGGGAGGTTTTACAAACCTCCCAAAACCCTCTTAAGCTCATGTTTTTAAATTCTTAGTTTGAGGGATCTCTTATTAACCCTCCTATAATTCCTCCTCCTTTTTCATCTCCTTCGATGTGTTTCAAACCAATTACAAACTCTTAGCCAAAGAATGAAATGATAGTAACAACCAACAACACAAGGTTAACAATTGGTCACAACTGTATTAGGTGTCTGAATTTGACCAAAATGGTTATAACAATTTTGATGAAATACAAACCAACCATGAAGTGGAACCCACTTAGGATATGACCTATGTGTAAGTTGGACTACACAAAATAAAATACAATATCAGATTCATGCAAATATTTTACCTTTTCTTTTAGTTGCTCAACTTGTTCCCTGAAAAACTGAGTCTGAAAACAATAGAAGTTGAGATTCAAATATCTATACACTTCGAAATTTTAAAAGTAAAATGATATGTGCTTGATAAATCATTCTAACCTTTCTTGCTCTAACATTGCTTAAACTCCTCTCCAATTGTTGTTCCATCCGCTGCAGTTCATCAATAGAGCAAGATCCCAAACCTTCTCCCATGAGTTTTCTGAGGGAATGGAATTACAAATGCACCGTTTTCATTCACCGCTTGTTGGTGAAATTAAACTTAGAAAGTAAATAATTTGTCAATATGAATGGAAATTCAATTTTTTTTTTTACCTTTTTGAAGCTTCAAGAAGGTCAATCTTCTTCATCATGTTTGCTGCTTCTTGCTTCAAATACTGCCCACGTATTAATCAGTTTATTCACACTATAGGACTCTAAGTTGAACAAGTGTCTATGATAAGCTAATACAGTAAATAAGCAGAAATTAACTGAAATCCAATTAACCAATTCCCTCTTTTAATAACTTCTAAAATGTTTATATTTACAAGGAAAGATGAAGATGAAATTGTTAAAACTCAAAACTTATTGATGACAAAAGGTCTAAATTATTTTTAGAGAGACAATAATGGAATATTGAAGATCAGCTTAAAGTTTGTTAATACTTGCAAAAATATTATATGCAAAATTAATTTAGAAATGGAGGCATGAATTTAGAGGCTAGAATTTTGTAATTAAATTAATTCTTGTGAATCGTAACTTTCTAGTCTTTGTAATTCACTATATCCAATTCCACTATAAAATGATAGGTGCTGTATGGATCTTGATATATTAAGACAGACTAGAATATAATTTAGGTAAAAGGTTTCCTCAAATTTTTCTGCCCACCGTATTCTAATAATAAAGCACTGGTTTTCTTTATCAGCTAATAAAACATATAAATTAAAGGAGTGCAGGGGGTATCCAAACCTATATACATCGTTTACAAAACAAAAATGCTTACAGAAGATTCATACATATCAAAGACTCCTTTATATATTCATAGAAGAAAAAAACCAAATCCCTTCACCTTTCCTTTAAGCCAAAACCAGGACCTTATCTGTATCATTTCCCCCACAAATTCAAATTAAACTCTTCATCTTTAAATATAATGCAGTTCCTATGCAACTGTATTGACCCAAACCATAGCAAACCAAAAATAATGTTTCAAGCGCGAGGGCAAGGCGTTTCAAGCACTATAATTTATAAGTATTTCTGCAAAAACCTCTTTACTAATTAATGTGCTAATTGGTTATCATGACATATGCTTCACAGTTATTATTCACATGTAGATCTTGGCATCTGGCATTAAGTCCTCCTAACCATGTTGATAGGCCGAAATTCCAACAAATACAAACAATAAACACCACACACATTTCTGTATCGTTTGTAAGGGCAAAGAAACACCCTTGAAAATGAGCTCACTCAGCTTCAACTGCCACAAATCTTTTGCTTTTTTTATCCTAGCTAAACGTTAGAAATGTCATTTTGGTAAAAGACGCCCAATTTGCACCATCTAACCAAAACTACTTGTCATCAAAAGTAGCTGCCTAACAATGCCAAAAACAAAAGTGTTGCAAACTAGATCTGCATACTACGTGCATTATGTATAGTTGAAGAAAGAGGTATTTATTTTGTCAACGACCCATTTTTCACTAATTGGGAAGCTGAATATTATTTGTAAACCAATGTCAGAGTCAAAAGAAATCAGGCAAGCAAGAGGAAAAACAATTATTTATTTTGGTAACAATACTTAGATGCAGTATTTAGGTGTTTCTAATACTACTCTCCAATCAAAATTAAAAATTTACCTCAGCAACCAGCTTAATAAAGGTCGGCATTGATTTTTAGAGTAAAACTACAATTTTGATTGCAGAATAGTACTCAATACACTTAAAATACTATATCTATGTTTTTGTCCCACACATTTTTGTTTTAGGCAACCTACTCCCACCCCAACCCCCCCCCCCCAAAAAAAAAAGAAAAAGAAAAAGGAAAACAATGAGGAAAGGAAAAAGCACATGCATTTTCATCAGCATGAGAGTAACCATATCACAAACTAAAACTAACCTGCATATTTTGTTCTATTGATCTAAGTGTAGCTGGATTGTTATCCTTGGTGTGCCTGCGGTATCGCTCAATTGACCCCTGCATGCTGTATCATTAAAGCCAATATTACAAAACTCAGGTCAACTGATCCATGGCCAGAATACTAAGCAAACAAGCACCGGCTTAGAAAATAATAAAATACACAAGGACATGATCAATGTCTTCCAAGAGTTATTTATGTCTTGACAACAAATTGAGAAATTGAAAATGGGAAGGAAAAAATAAATTTTATTTTAGTTTTAATTTAAATGTAATATAAATAGGAGAAATGAAATGAAGAGAAAATAGAAAAGTCACAAATTCGTCCATTGCCTTTCATTGATATAGGACTTCAGTCAATGGAATTTTCTATAATTTAGAAAGAATTCAAATAATGAATGCTCTAATTCTTTTAATAATTTTTGGAAAGATTATAACAGTGATTTCAAGGTTAATCTGTCACTTTCATTCCTCCCACGTCTTTGGCTTTCCCAACAATATATAGCTCTAATCTTCATGTCTCCCTCAACAACTTTTTTTCTATAACTCTTATCAGACAAGTTATATGACAACGAGGAAGCAATGCAATTAGCATAAGAACTCATATGATAATTAGAATATAAGTGATATTATCTACCATACAATTACTAATTATCTGTACAATTCCACATGGAATGCATAAATACTGTTAATAGTTAATTTAGAATTTTCTAGAAATGTATTAATTAACTAGTAACTCATTCACGAATTGTCACACACATATCACACACAATATAGCAATACACTTGTCTCAAAGACAAAAGTCTCCCATAAATAGTATTTTCTATCTACCAACTGCAAATAAGAACATACTTGCCTAGTTTCACATCCTATTATCAGATATAATCCTAATTATGCTCTAGGAATAATTGTCATCGTGCCTTCTAAACTACTGGACTAATGTAGAAACGTTGATACAGTATAAGTTATTTTATATCACATATGCTCCTAATAATAATTGCCTCTAATCCCTTATTGGATCCTTCCTAACTCACTTGAATCTCGGTTCCCATCATTATTACTTGCTGAAAAATTATCACATATATAATATGCTTCTTTCAGTTTGTGAAAATAAAGAAGCCTTGGTTGCTGATTTGCAAATAAGGACTAATAGCAACTGGAATTTGAATTTGAGATGGCATCGGTCTCCTGTTGAGTGAGATCAGGAGCTAGCATCAGATATAGAGTTCTTACTAAATTCTGTTAGTTTTAGATACAATGAAAAGGATATTCAGAGCTAGAAATACGACAGAAGAGGGGTCTAGTAAAAAAAGGATCGAGGGAGACAAAAAAACAGATAAAATTATTGAAAGACTTTTTTTATTAATCATATTTCTGAAAAATTCAGTTTCTGACCAAACTCAATAGCGTGTATGATTCATGTAACTAATTTCACATAGTAACATAAAACTTGTTATTATTGTCGTAATCAATCTAGCCCCGTAAATTTTTCAGTGTATTTTAACTTGGCTTGCAGCTTTCCCAGTGCAGTCTACGTGATATCATAACTTTCCAACTACAATTATAAAAAAAAGAATTTGATTTTATAATTTTCACGCTTCAAATGCCTAATCTTGAGTGTGTGGTGTGTTGAAATTTCACATTGACTACAAATATGAACAAAATAAACTTTATAAAAGTTAATGCAATCCTGACTTCACAAGCTAACTTTGGCCTAGTCTAAACTTAAGAGTTCCAATGTTGAATCACTTGTTTCTTCAGTTTCAGATCCAATTTTTAAATTGTTACTGATTCTCTCATTTTGCAAAACATGTAGATACAGTGAAAGAAGAAAACTGACAGGTTTGGTAGCTAACTTGGTCGGTAGTAGTATGGTTTATTTGGCTCCATTGGAACGAGGTGCTTTTCAAGGGACAATAAGTGCTTCTAAAGTGATGGAGTTGATTAGAATCATATCATGGTCTTGGCTGTCTTACAAGTCAGATAACTCTATTTTATTCACTCAATGGTTGAATAATCCTTGTGAATGTATTAGTGCAAGTGCTAGCTGAGTTCTTAATTTGTTTCAATTTTGTATTGAGGTTGAGGTACTCCTTGTACTCTTTTTAGTAAATCTTTATCTGCTATCAATATTTTTATATTGGCTATGCATTAGAAATGGCATAATCAGAATTATTCCTAGAAAATAATTAGGATATTATATATATAAAGCGGAGATCAAGTTATTGTAAGTATCTCTGAGACGAGTTATTCTACTTGATAAGATCATACATTGATTATGTATATCAAATATCAAATAAATTAGAAATTTATATATATGTAATTTTATAATTAATATTTATTTGTATTTTAAAAATGTATATTAGATATTCAAATAAATTTATTTAATGAATTATTAATTAATTTTTTTAAACGTGATCTATTTAAGAACTAATTTATCAATTGACAAAATTTAATGTTTAGAAATAGTTATTAAAGAGAATAACTCTTGTCAAAGTTATTTTTGAAGAAACTTAATATCCCAAAGGCTGTTAAAGTAAGAAATTTTTTTTTTCTCATTCTCTTCATCCATTTCAGTAGAAATTTTTTGTCTTTCATTTGGGTACATTATTTCCCCAAAGCACTAACCTGAACTAGTTCTCCTTGCATTGGTGTAAAGGTGGAATTTTCTCTCCACACTGAAAACATAAATCTTTTTCTCTCTATATGTTCCTATAAGTTAAATGTTATAACCTTTTACTTTTTGTTTTCACAAATTGCCTTTTATCCCCTTCATTCTTCCTCCTTCTCCCTGTTGATATCGAAGAAGTGAGGTTTCAATATTGTGAAAAAATTGAAGCCACTAAACCAGAATTCATGTCGTTTCTCCCATTCCAATTGCTATGCTACTTGGTTGCAATATTTAGAAATTTGCTCCAAATTTTGCATTCCTACTTCAAACAGTGAAGGTTGTGCAATGCTATTTTGTTGCCAATTCTTAGACTACCAAGTGTAACTGCCAAACTTAGGATGAATTTCAATCATTTTTGTTTCAATATTTCTAACTAATTGCATGGCCTGAAGACAGGACTTAAGTTAAAAGTATAGTTGGTACACATGATATTCAGTTGAAGTCCTCTCATAAAATACCTCTAATGTTGCGCTTCAAACAACCTATATGCTTATGAAAATAGGATTTCAAATTTCTCAATATACTCTGTGGAATCCAACTGCTTTAAGTTTGTTAATTCTTTATATGAATTTTCAAACTTTTTCCTTCTAGACTTTGCAATCATAGCCCTTTCTAATTTCTGCTAAATGAGATTATTTTCAATTTCCCTCCACAATGTTATCTTCACTTAATTTTTTGAAATATTTTGCCCTTCAAAGCATGTTTCTACCCTAGTGATCCATCCCGTAGGATGTGTTCTCCATTAAATCCTAGCAGTTCCACTTAACTTCTCCAAACCTTGAAAATGTGAATCTGGCCTTGATTGGCACAAGTCCTTTCCTTATGATTGGAATTATCATTTTCTTCCATTGCTTTCTTCCCAAACAGCCTCTACCTCTCTAGATAAACTTCTCTCTACCATGTGTTCTACCCTCTCATCCACCTGTACAAACATCATTTCACAGTCCTACCACTTGTCCTCCAATGAATCTACATGATCAAAAACCCTAGCCATTGTTAAATGATCAACTTGTTGGCCTCAACAAATCTCCTTTTCTTCTTATTATCCAGCAAATTGGACCAAAACATGATAAAACACCAATTGATAAGCTAATAAATTATAATACTGAGCACAAATTGCAAACAATACAGTAATACACTTGTCGCAAAGACAGTCCCCTACAAAATATTAAGTCCATAAGCTGCAAATTACAACACACTTGCCTAACTACACACCTAGTATCAGATATAATACTAATTCATAATTGCCATTAGTTATTTTTTATGAATAGTTGGCATCATGCAGTTTTTAATACAGAAATATTAATACAAGATCAATTGTTTTCTATCACATATACTCCTATTGATAACTGTCTCCAATCCATCAATAGATCTTTCCAAACCCACTTGAAAATGGTTCCCATCAAAGAGTTATGAAAATGTTGCAAATGATCTGTTACTACCATTTATGGATAGTCAACCACTAAAATTTGACGAGGCAATGAGAGAAAACAGAATGGAACAATTTATGAAGAAGGATCAAAGCCATAAGAATAACATTTGCAAGTTATAAAATCTTCTCAAATACCATTAAACGACTGGAGTTGAGTAAGGGTACAAGAATTGCTTGTAAGAGAAAACAACAGCATTATAATTGGTAATGTCATTAATAAAAACTTGTTATTAAGAGGTATAAACACTCTTGTAAACTCATTGAAATGAATTAATAAAAAAGACAGCTAGGCTTCAGAAAAACAAAATCCTGTCTCTAACAAATTCAAGTCTAATTTCAAGGTTTACCATAACAGAAGTAGAATTATAATTGGACCTGGCGAAAAGGGAAAACCCTAGATTATTTATGGATTTAAATATTAACCCCTACATTGCAATAAAAAGGAGGAAAAAGTCTGCTTTACTTTCCAACATGTTTGATTATGTGTAATTTAGACTCTAACTTTTGAAAGTGCGTAACACAATATTTTATATTTATCAATATGTGTGAAGAAGTCCCTCTATTACTAAAATATCAAATTTCATTTTCTTGGACAAAAAAATAATGTTGTCTATCGCTGCAAAAAGAGGAAAGATTAAAAATTTAAGAGTATTTTAGTTCAAGAAACAAAAAAATTAGACATCTTAATAACAAATTTTTTTTTTGAAAGTTAAGATCTAAATTGCATATAACTAAACCTAAATAGGTAAAGTGTACTATTTTCTAAAAAGAATAAAATATCAACTTCTTGGTAAATTATCCACATGAAACTATGTTTCTCATGAGCGTGAATGCTTCTCAATTTGTGAAATTTGAAGAAAAACAATTTGAGTTCCTAGAATCTTTGGTAAAGAAGACTGGAGAGCAAAATGTTGTTCAAACATATAAGACTTTTCTTTTGAAGTTCTTATATGTAGCAAAAATC